GTGTATGTAGTATTTGCTTATGGACGTATTAAGGCAGTAAACATCAGCGAATGAGTAATAATTTGATATGAATTACAAAATGTGTACTGTCTTGGAAGGAAAATTTTTACAAAGTGTATGTAAGTTACATGGTACAATTGCATACAATTTAGATTACACGATCCATACACAACAATAAACATTTGCTTAATTTTTACGAAAAATGAAAATTGATAAGAATTATTGTTTAAAAAATTGTTTAAAATGTATAAAGACAACGCATACTAAAATTTTACCTTCAATTACATTCATTATTAATTTGTTAGACACGATAAAATGAAAACAATGTAAAATTTAATTTAGATGTAACTTTAAACCTTTTTGATTAATAAATGTATATTGATTGTTGTATGGCAACATTAAAAAAAACAGTTAAATAATTACAATGAAATTTTCAAATAAAACGTTCGTTAATTTTATATTCATTTACAAAAATAGTTATTTTGAATAATTAAAAATTTTATGTAAATTTTAGTAAAACCATTTAATTTTGTAATAACATCCATCCGTAGTATCTCTAAAAATATGTATTATTGCAAGTTATTTACAGTATTTAAAACAAGACAGTTTTCCATATTTGTTTCGAATAAAGCTTCAATTTAATTTAAGTAAATATTTTTATAATATCACTGATATTAATGTTAATCCTTTTTCGAATATAATAATTTTATGCAAAAATTATCATTCGTATTAATCAATATAATACTAATTATAAAAATTTTAATACGTTGTATGCTATTTATATAATTTAAATAAAATATATGACAACACAATTTAATTAATTATTACTTAGAATTGTATTATTATTATTATTATTATTATTATTATTTTTTTTTTATTTTCTTTTTTTTATTTCAAACGATTATTACGTTTTACAAAGATCGTTTCATTACAATGTTAATATTCGTGAAATAATTTTGTCATATTCATCATTTCTCCATTATACCATTTATTGGTATCATATAAAAATTACATGCTTAATAGACCACAGTTATAAATGCTAATATGTGCGTATTTTTATGCCAAAATTGTAATACAAAGTATTAAAATAACGATAAGAGTCTGTGTAGATATATTAGTAAATAAATTATTTAATACAATTTCAGACTGTAAAATCTCTTATATTGCGATGTTTTTCATTAGTGTGAATCATTCGCAATCGTATTATACGTAAAAAAAGTATTAAAAATATCTAATACCCAATACGAATTAACTTATGGCTGTGTTAAAATTAGAAGAAAGAAATATTTATATTTGAACAAATAATATTTACCAGTAAGAGCCCGGCAATTTTATAATTTTGAAAAAAAAAAAAAAATTCTGATAATATTGGATTTGGCAATAGCTATATTAATGTACATTCGTGAATAATGTCCTTTTAATTAATGTAAACCATTATTTGACTTTTGCATTGAACAATTTCGATTCGATATAAGAAGCATAGAATACACGAATGCTTTATTATATATATATATATATATATATATATATATATACATACGTTCACATACGTCCTACTCTTATAATTCCTAGTCACTCTAAACGCCGTGAAAAAAACATTTTAGTATGTAATTTTGAAAAATATGGCGTTACAGTTAAAGTGATCACAGAATCATTTCAATGAGCAGAGTACATAATATATATATATATATATATGTGTGTGTGTGTGTGTGTGTGTGTGTGTGCGCGCGCGCGTGCGCGTGTAATCGTAAAGATAGATAGCAATTTCGTGACATTCGTTAATAGAATTTACAAAAATACTAATTAAATGAACTTTTGTTAAATAAATGGCCAATCTAAATTAAAATGAATCCAATACATAATTTCGATAAAGTTACTTATTATTCTTGTACAAGTACATTTCACAACCTGGTCATAAACAGCAACGTAGTCTTCATAAGACTTTTTATCTCCATTTAATAAAATTGAAACAAAGAGCCAAAAGCATAACAAATTATAAGTTCGGTACAAACATTGCACGAATTTCAACACTTAAAATTTAATTTCTTAATATTATTATTACTATTATCATATTTTCATTAAAAATTATTATCGTTATTATTATTAATATACCAGTCATTTCTACTTTTATATACGTATTCATGGCAGTTCGATTTCAATTTTATTTAACGTCTTACGACAAAGCTCGAGGCAAGTACAATTCACTATTCTGTGCGCGTATCACATTACACAGTCTCTCGATCATGGAGCGAGCTAATGTTTGGTCAATAATTATACCGACCAGAGTATTAATGCTTATGAGGCATCAAGATTAATACGTGTATGGAGATTTAGAAAAAACGATGATGACACTCAGCGAATGTCAAAAACATTAGAAAATTAGTATGTACTCGTGACGAAAATAAGCAAGAGAGAGAGAGAGAGAGAGAGAGAGAGAGAGAGAGAGAGAGAGAGAGAGAGAGAGAGAGAGAGAGAGAGAGAGAGAGAGAGAGAGAGAGGCGGGAGAGACAGGCAGACAGACAGACAGACAAACAGACAGACAGACAGAGAAAGGGAGAGAGAGAAAATGAGCGATTAGGCATTATTAAATTGCATCGTAGCTTTACCATTCTTTTTCAAAATTATAAACTATATTTGCTTCGTCCTATTTACATCTTTTACAATACACGTTATTACCTTTTCATGTTTAAAGAAAACGCACTGAGTCATTAGCACTTAAGGCATTAAACTCATTATACGCAGCTATTTTCTATTGCTAAATATGAATCCAAATGCGCGTGAGACTGTGGACACCGAAGCACCAAATTTTCCAGTAGCCAAAGTAGCGACGAGCGATACTTTAGCAATTGCATGGATAGCGAGACAAAAAAAAAAGGAAGAAAAAAGTAGTGAATCTCGACGTAATTGAGAGCTTGAAAATCGTGCTGATTCAGCAGAATTCTCTGAAATTTTAATTACCCCGATTAGAGTTTCGTTTATATGAATTATCTCGTTTGGCGCAATGTACAATTGTAACAACGCACGATATATTATCCCATTCTTTCCTGAAAGCGTATCTTGATTCACAGCTGCCGAACTGTATGAGAAGATGCTAGATGATTTCGAATGAAAGTGATAGATATAGAAACATATGAAGAATCGTTGAGAGCCGGGATATTCGATGATACCCATTGTGAACATCTATGAAATCTTTGCTCGCCATTTCAATGAGAGACAGATGATATTGTTTATATATTTCCACGCGATGTCTTGACTACCCTCCAAGAGCAAAAATGTAAGATATACCGTTGAAGTGTAATGATGTAATGGTACATCGTGCCGAGATAAAAAATTCGTTACGGCTCTTTGTTGTATACACTACTTTGTCCTTTGATATATATATATATATATACATATTCTCATTAGAGTTACTCTACTACGATACAAAATTCCTAGGTCAATGTCAACATATTCCTCGATGATCCTGCAACCCCATTGGATCGGATGACTTTTCCATGACGATTTGGAGTAATACTTTTTCTAATTACGTTACTATCGCACATATCTATTACAAGTTTCTAATCCCATATGGCGAGCATAAGATTAGCTCTATACCTTCAAGTTCATCTCAAAGATCAAAATGATCGATATTATTGAATTAATAACGATGAATAATATAACTTGACGTTCAATGATAAATTTTTGTCAAGCGATATCGGAGTTGGGATTTGATAAAGGCGTTTTACCCAGAATACCGAATACAGGCTCTAAGAACGCTTTCTTCCTCTGAATAATTTACAATATGACGCACAAAACATGGAAAGACTATCTCTTCCATTTATTATGATCGTCTGCCAGTAATTCTCCAATATCCAATTTTTCTTTATTTAAAATTGCTGATGAAAAACATGGCAATACTAATGCATAATAAGCAATTGAAGCCGTATTTACGTAAATTATTTTTTGATAAACTACGATGTCAATAATTCGTATATTGCTTATTTAAACGAAATTACCATTTATCATTGACAATGAAAGACTACTTAGATAAGTGGATAATAGAAAACATTATACTACGATTACCATTTCAATTTTCCATATTAAGCTACATGCTGACATTAATTAATTTATTTATCTGCTCGATATTAAGCTTCCTCTTTGTTTTTAAATATCTCTATATTTTCACTGATTGTAGGCATTACTACTTCATATGCCATAGCAGCGGCTAACTGTTCATCTAGTGACTTCTAGTGACTATAAACAATCTATTGATAATTGTTTTGCATTATTTTATCGATTATTAATTATTATAACAATCTTGTCGTTGCTTGTAATTAGTGTTCTTAGCTAGTCTGATCCTAGGCGAATCGAAATCGAAAGGATTTTGATCACTCGGTCGTTATATCTTTATTGCAGCAATATTTCAGTGACAATAAATACTAAACTCTACATTATTTACGTATTTAAATATATCTATACCACACATTTACTTATACGAAAATTTATCGAGCCCTTTATTAATTAATGAAACTTTGCAAAGATAAACTCATTGATAGGTTGCCTCGTAAATATTTATTTCTCAATGCTTATATCTGTCTTGGGTAATTATAAATCATTTTCAAATATTTCGAAAATTGCGTCTGCTAGTAAATTCGTTAAAGGAAAAAAAGTATTTTAACTTTGAACATTTAATCGAAGAGTAAGATCATTTTTATACTTTATTTTAGAATTTCCTCATGGTCGAATCTTATTCAAAATTTCTATGTTCGTTTCAAATAATAATGTATAAAATAAAAAAAAAAGCCAAAGCTCAGCCAACTACTGCATTACATTCAAACTGTTATTTTTATTTATTTATTATTATTATTATTATTATTATTATTATTTTTTAAATGTAATAATTTGATTAAATGAAGACGTTAATTACAGATTTTATTCGACAATGAATTACCAAATTTGTTTAAATAGTATGAAATATAATGTTGATAAATAATGGTACCATTATTACAAATACATCTCTCCCTTTAATCGCTCTCATTTTTCCTTTATATCTTACCAATATGCATTCTACATGATTGAAGTATAAACTATCTTATTAGCAGCGACTTTGCTCGTCTCGCTCGCTCTCTCATTTTCGTTCAACATTTTATAGAACACTAAGACTAGGAACCTTAATCGACAAATTGCTGGGAATCGATTTTCAAGTAAGAAAAATCGCTCTACAATCTTGAATTGTGATTTAAACATGATTCGCAATTAAGGTGACATAATGCAAAATTACCTCCAATTCGTATGTACATATTATCGATTGTTGAAAATCAATCTAATTAGTTCGGTCGTTAGTTGGCAATTTTTCAACCGAAAATTAAGGCAAGTATATGTCCTTAGAAAGTCCGCACTAGTAATTCTACAAAACTAATTTAGTAAATTAGTCGAAAGCTAATCAAACACTTACACGCATACTTTGAAAAGTAATTGTTAATACTGCAATATACATATGAACACGGTGGAAAAATAAATTTATTTTAAATAAAATCCTCGATGAGGATTTGTTTCGACGTTTCGATTCTCGAAGATACCAATTAAACGAAAAACAAAAACGTCCTCGCAAATGTCTCACATGGTACAGTGTCGGCAACACTTAACGGCAACGCTCTCTTCTTTTCTCGGTGTTCCTAAGGCTTTTCTCATCCTCTTGTCCTCTTAAATGCACGTCTCGAGCACGAGAGCGGGCGTCGCCGGATCTCAGAAGGCTTCGACAAAGCTCGCGGGGAAGAGTCCCGTGCGCCCGGTGCGTTGCTGCGTTCCCTTGTACCAGCCATCGTCGCGCTTCTTGTGCACGTAGATGATGTCCCCGACACGCAGCTCCAACTCGAATTCGCTGTTTGGTGGGTATGGCACGATGCAGCGAAATCTGTAGACGCGCTCCCTGCAAATCGTTACATGGATGGCTTCATTACTCTCGCCCTGATCCTCCCGCATTTCAATCAAGACGGCTTAATCATTTCATTTCTTTTTTTTTTTGTCTTTTTTATATATAGATGTATATATATATAATTATTTTTATCACAAAAATATGGCAGAGCAACGAGTTTTGTGGTATTGGCAAGCTTAACATTATCATTTAAAGTAAACGTTTTTACAAATTGAATATGATATACAGACTTTAAAAAAAAAAGCACGATAATACGTATCTTACAACTATATAACTTGTTAGTATTATCATTCTCATTGTCGTCGTTATTATTATTATTATTATTATTATATTCTTGTTGTTGTTGTTCTTGTTGTTGTTGTTGTTGTTGTTGTTGTTATTGTTGTTGATAGTGTTAGACATTTATCATTGAAAAGTGTATGATGGTCCGATCATATTTGGCCAAACTAAATTATCTTTTAATTATAAATAATAAATCCATAATGTGTCAATAATTTTTTCAGAAAGTTTCAGCAAATAATTATTAATTTTATTATATTTTAAATTATATAGAGTATCTCCGAGCCAAATAAACATATCTACCAAAATAATTTTTAACTGCATTACGAATTACTTCATTTGAGATTGGCATAATTATACTGTATTAGCAGTTTATTAACATTATATTAAAAATAAATTATGAAAGCAAAAAATTATATATATATATATATATATATATATGGAAATTATGTAATTTAGAGGCTTTTATTAATTTTTTGAAAAAATTAATTTTTTAAATTATATTTCAAATAAACATCAGTACGTTACTCATTCAATATAAAATGAGATTTTCAATAAATCTACATTCTTAAAAAACTAAAATTTCTCATCTGCATCAACATATCTTGCAATTTACATACTATTAAAGGTCTATTTTAATTTTAGTTAAACTACTTTCAAAATCGGATATTAATAAATTGTAAAAACACGTTTTTATATATAATAAAAATTTATTTAGTACGTTAATGTTACAATCATTTAACACAGTCAGTGTTTAATTTAATTAAAAACTTAAAGAACTACGGCAACTCTAACGATAGATTTGAATAATAAGAATTAAACTTTAATTAAAAATTAATTTTTTAAACGATCTTTTTATTGGTAAAAATATGTTTAATAATCTTTATTACATAGTCCAATCCAATTTTATAAGATCTCTTTTGATTATACAAAATAAAAAAATATAAGAAATAATCTGTATATTATAAAAACTTATATTATAAAAATTTATATACAAACAAAACAAAATATCTAATCTAATAATACATAAGATTTAGTAATAATACATTACACGAAAGCTAATGTTTCCATTTTCATGAATATTTTATAATAGAGAAAATAATCGAAAATAAATAATAGAGAGAGAGAGAGAGAGAGAGATCCACATTGCCATTACTTATTAGATCTTTAATCATATAATTACTAATAAACTTTAACATAAGATGATACTTATATAACAATTTTATTTAAACTTAAATTATATATATACCAATAACTGAAATATGCAATCGCTAAGTTAAATAAAGTTAATCTTAAATTTCTATCAACAATAAATTCAATTAGTTTCTTTTAACTGATGCGATTAAATTTTTAATCGTTTACAATAATTATTTAAGAATTTTACATATAACGAATGATGTAACTTACTGAATAAAAATATCTTAAAAAATATAAATTATTATACAATTTAGAATGGCGTCAAATTAATGGCCGCAAAATAGAAAATTTTTTTTTCAAATTTACACAAATGGAAAAAATATTTTATATCCATTTTAAAGTATGGCAATTATCTATAATAATTAAATACACTGATATAATTACTTTTAATGCTGTTATATAACTATGAATTTTCTTTTCTATTAGGCAGCCAAATCAACGGCTAGGAATGTAATATATATATATATATATATATATATATATATTGCATTACGAAAATTTCAGATGTAGACACATACTAATTAAGTTGCCGTTACACTTTATATCAATAAAGTTATGTCTGAGACATTCTTATTTTTCTTACCGATCTCGCGTTGAAATTTGTTGTTTAACTTGTTTGCCCGTTCCAGCATCCAATGAATTACTTTTACGATGATGATTACTCATTGTACTCGTAACATTGCCACCGGTTTCAGTAGACCTGCATTTATATACACAAATTTTATTTCATAAATAACATAAAGACTTTGCGTAGAAGTCAGAAGCGTTTAATGAAAATGCGATTAATTATAAATATTGACTTATTTACTAGTGATTTTTATTTGAATTTTTTTTTGTTTCTTTTTGATTTTTGTTTTATCACATAGAAGAATATTAGCGATTTTTATAATGCTATATTTCACAAAAACTTCACTGCTAAAATGAAATTTAACATATAATTAGACTCGCTGTCAACACTGATCTATAATCAATAATCGAATAAAAAATAACTAATATGTTTATATTATCGATAAATCGAAATATATTTAAGATTAAATTTAATATATTTTTGTGAATTCGTAAATGACATAATAGTTTTAAAAATTTTAATTGTACAACAAATTTTATATCTTTACCAATATTCACAAAATGTTTTGTGATTTAACACGGCAAACTTTTAGTAATATAAATTATAAATATGTATAAATTTATCGAAATGAAATATAATTTTTATTCTTAACCAATTTCTTTATTTCCCATACGTGCCATATAAATTGCATCGAATTTTCAACTTTTTACAAACACTTTACATATAAATATAACTAAATTTATATCTAATTGAGATGTTTATATTCTGCATAATGACGAATGCGAATGTAAATGACTGTGCAACAACACACTAACTTACAATTTACTATTTCTTTTAAGAACATAAATTTGTTTTTTATCACTAAATTGCCAATGCAAACATAAAATATGAAAAGCTTAATGTGCATAATGAAACAAAAATGATATGGCTGTAGCTCATTGAATAAGTGTAATTTGATATAAAATAAAAGCTTTGTTTGCTTATTTTTTTTACAAAACAAAAACAGTATGTACACCCTGTTAATGTAATGTCAATAAAATAGGCCATATTTTCTGTTAACAAATTTTTTATAATATGCATTTGTAAACGATAAAAGGATTTAAAAGGATTATGCAGTCGTAAAATAGATATTGTATTGCATGTTTTGAAAGCAAACACTTGACGAATACGATGCTGTTGAATGTATATGAAAATATCTCAATTGTTAATTTGACATTAAAAAAGTGAAAGCATGCACAAATCATTAATATATATATATATATATATAAATAAGAACTAACTTAATTTTTATTCATTTTTAGAGCGCAAATATTACGGATCTACTCTAAAAATTTATATTTGAATTTTATTTTCAACTTAAAAAAAAAAAAACCAAAAAAAAAACAAAAAAAAAAATGAAAACATTTAACATTTAAAATTCTCTCGCTACGTGACTTACTTTTGAAAATATTTTAATATGTATATTAAGAAGAATTAAGAATTAAATAAGAATGCTGAATTATTATTGCTTTCGTCTATTATTATTATTATTATTTAAAATTGGTTTAAAAAACATTCTCAAGAACATTAAAAAAAAGAAAATTTTCAAAAAAGTTCTTAATTTGGCAGTTGTCAATTGTATAATCACATTAATGCTATTGTTTAATAAAAATGCAAGAAATATTATATTTAATTCAAAATATATCACAATACACTGTGAAGTTAGACTGTAAATGAAACTCCATTAGCAATACAAATTATCATGAAATTTCATACAGACAAGATAACTATCAAGATAAAATGTATTTTATAAAATTTCTCATTAATGTTCCCACGTCATTACTTCTTGCTTCGCTCGTCCAACTCAAGAGGAACCTTAAGATCTGTTGAAATTAAGAGATACGATCGATAATAACTAACCTCTGGAGGAAGTTTGCGGGTAAGGAGGGTCTCTCTTTGTGCTTGATTCGTTGCGAGGTCGTGACATGACCTTGTCCAGGATACATGCGATGGTGATTGTTTGCAGAACCATTAATATCCTGTGCGACTCCCAGCTGGAGCAACTGACTTGGACACGACCCTGACCTGATTTTCCATTAAATCCGAATCCCCAGGGAAACATTAGCGTATAATAAATTAATAACAACTGCTTTGCTTGCAATCTTATAATCATAATATCTAATTTCATGATCCGAAGAGTTTCTATCGCTTAATTCATAATATTAATACTTCTTGTTGCACGTTTGGATAACACATTAACATTACGAATGTCGTAGAACAAATAATTTCTTCGAGTTATATGGGCATTTATACTATGGGCATTAATATATAGAATAATATATTAACATTTATCTCTAATCCAAAGTCACAATAAATATAAAACAAATAGTTAATAAATAAAAATTTAAACAATAATTACCAATATTTTAATCTTAAGCAAAACAAAATTAAAAATTAAAATTAAAATTAAAATTAATTACTGAGAATCTTTGTTAAAAACTTAAAATTATCCGTCTCTATTTTTTCAACAAAAAAAAAAGAAGAAGTGATTAAATAAATAAACAAAGTTATATTTCGTAACATACCGTACTAATACGTAAAAACTGTAAGACCCATAGCAATAACGTTAATATTACTTGTAAGTAAATATCTTTTATATCTTTTACTTACCAATACATTATGTTAAATTACTCTGTATTTTATTCTTTTCTATACTTATTGATTTCAAATATTATAACAATATATTTCTTAAATTCGCAATTAAACAAAAATTAACTATACGCTAATTAAAGTTCTAATTTATTATTACATTACTTCGGTTCATTTCATAGACTAGGCTCAATCATTATTTATAAACATTTAAGAATACATTTATATAAAAAAAATTTGTTACTAACGATCTATGACAATGAAGACGAAAAGCATATTTAACACAAATCAGATAATATCAGGCATTTACACAGGGAACTATTGAAAATTGTTCAAACATGCAGTTATTTAACACGGCAATTATTAATAATGACAATTAATGATTTCTCATAATGCTCGCAACACAAAAAATTAAAAAAAATAAATATATATATATATATATATATATATATATATATATACATAATTATGTGTAGCACATGATAAGCCATGATGACAAGCTGTGTTTGTGCAATACAACTATTTAAAGTAAAGAAAAATCTTACCGAACATGAATTGGATTGATCAATAAGGATTGACTTGTATTGCCATCATCAAAGACTGGATTATCCATCGAATAAGTTGATGGAGGCGGAGATTTTGATTTTTTAATACTAGTTAAACGACGCATCAGCGATACACCCTTTTCCTTTTTTTCTTTTACCTACATAAACAATAAGATTTTATTAATAGCACTTTTAAATATATTCACTTGATGTAAAATCCTCACAAAGGATATCAAAATAAATTATTAAAATAAAATATTAACAATGAACGACAAAGATTATTACGGTTAGTATACTCCTTACTTTCTCTGTGGGTTTCGATGTCGTAGCCGAAGTAGACGCAGTTAAAGAAATCGATGTTGTTTGATAAGAATTTTTATTGGAATCATTAACGGATGTTGTTGTAGTGACTGTTGTACCAGTAACAACAGTTACAGCCGCAGGCAGTTTACCTGGCGAATCTACACATAAACACGATGGAAAAATTAATTCCTTGTCCATGACTATAAAAGGCAATAAATTTATTCATATCTCTTACAATATAGCTTTACAATTAATTAATCGAGAAAAAAAAAATTCAAAACTACATTATGTTTCAGTCTTTCATTGATTAATTTTCAATTTATTAATTATGCTTGTTTGATTTTTGAACAATTCAATTTTCCAAGCTTCCACAATGATTCTTCTAATGAATAAATTATACTTATAAGCTAGTCGATAAAAATATGGCTAAATATGTTTTAAAAATATCATCAACTTTTCTTTTGTGAATAATCTTACAAAGATAAGTAAATGTTTACATACAGTTAGTACAGGCAATATAATTAAAAGGGAAAGAAGAAGCTAACATACATTTCTTATAATAGTACATTGAACTTATAATAAGCTTGACTCGCGTAGCCGTAACAAGCACACTAACTGCATATGTAGCGCAATGAAAATTAAATGACACAAAACGTGAAAATGATTACGAATTCAAACTGGAATCGAATTTTCAGAGTATAGTGTCATTAGCGTATGAGCATATGTCGCATACTAGATGACATATACAATGAAAAAATAAACAAATGCGGATAGCCGTGTAATGAAACACTTTACAACGACAAAGTGAAGCACGACGCTAGTAGAAAAAAAAAAAAAAAAAAAAAAATCTTTCGTACATTGACGGGACAAAGCGGCTCCAGTGTCACGCGATTGATCGAACTGTATTACGAGATGGGAGGTGAAGGCAAAGTGACGTAACAAAGGACAAGACGACAGCGTCGTTAAATATAAATTGCAGAAATTGTCGTTAAAGCTTCGGGAATCGAGAACGAATCTTCTCCACGCATCTTCCTTCGCATTAAGCGGCTCCTAAATATAATTTAACTATTTATTCGATACTTTTTTATCGCTACGAATGTCTTGAATATTACTCGCTCTATGGGGATCTCTAGGGTTTTATGTAAAGCTCCTTGAAATACATTACGTGTACAGTTGAATGTCAGCATGCTAGAAAGCATCGCCCCATGTATTTTCATTATATGTACAATAAACTTACAAAATATTGTGGACGCGCCACCAGAATTATAGTTTCGGCCAGTGGATGCGATTGGCACAGTTTGATCGGGTAATCTTGGAGGACTCTGCGTCGTACTCTGTTGCCTCTGCGGATGCCAGACGTTAGTTCCGACTGACTCGGGGCTTAAAGCGCGAGGTGGCAGTTCGGGAGGCGCTAATTTACCGAGGTTGTATGGTTGCGGAACACCACCCTTGGCTTTAGTATAGACTACGGACATGCGATTATCCGTGCCGCCTGCTTGAGAAAACGGCGAGGAACTGCTCTGTGGTGGTGCACTATTGGATGATCGACATACCGTTCGTTGACATCTGCCAATATAACAGAAATACGTTGCTCGTGTGAGCTTTAAGTTTGATGTATAAAGACATTTGAATGACGAAATCATAACTTGTATTTGTGATTAAAATTTTTTTTTTTTTTTTTTTTTTTTTTTTTTTTTTTTTCCGCAACCACTGTAATATTACGTATACGTTTAATTTATAAATGTAATGATCGATAGCTAAGAGAGTTTGTTCGATAGGCAATAAATAAGGTTATTTATTTCTTGGTGATTTATATCACGTCGAGCCCCATCAAAATAACAGTAAAATTATAATAATCGTCGAATAACTATAATAGCAAAACAAAAACAATAATAAAGAAAGTGCGATAACCGAAGTCTATCGAGTCATGCGATTATATAAATCAGTGAGGCGCGTTGGGAAGGTGAGAAGAATGACGTGTAAGTGGAGCTGAAACTACGTACATTGCTGGAGCGACGTAATTGCCCGGGAAGACGCCGCACTTTTGGGTGCGATTAGAGGTGCCCTTGAACCAGCCGTCCTGACACTTTTCCGTGACCATGTAGATACCGCCCTTCCTAAGCTCCAACTCGTCGGATTTCTGTGGCTTGTAAGGATAGAGGGCAATGTAAACGGCTGGCAATTTCCCACTGGAGGTGTTCGAGGAGCTCGTCGTCTTGCTACCGGCGCTCCCTATACCCGGCGTTGTCACTGGTGTGGTGCTCAGCATCCATGACTGCGAGAGCATCAGGTCGTTGCTGCCGCTGCGCTTATGGCGTGGATTTTTGGGACCGAAATTCGGGCCCGCCTGCAACGTGATGCGACAATTGAGAATGCGGATGGGACGACGAATCACGATACGCGAGCTCGAAATTTCTCTTTACCCCGGATACTTTCATACGCAGATAATTGAAATATCTTTGACGGTTTGTAATGGGTAAATCGTTCTTAATAGTTTACACGCCGATGTTATGAACATTAACATCGAGCGTAAAAATTCACATTGGGATCTATTAATGATTCTATTAATGCTGCTAAGTAGCAAGTTAAAATCTCAAAATTCTACGTACGAGGCACTTTATTGACGTTTCAGGTGCTTACGAGCACTATCCCCTCGTGAATTAATATTTCGAAATACTCATATTTTTTTCTCCACCTATTTACTGTACACGAAACGATGAAAATTATAATAATGCATAAGCTCTTATTTAAACTAATATAAATTTAATCGTATTAATTACATACTCTCGTGCTTTGTTCAACCAACTTTATATGTCTCTCGATCCGCGTTACCGACTTCAATGTCACAATAGCATGTCGTCAATATAAAAATATAATTCTTTTTTTTTTTTTTTACAAACATAATATACTCCCGCTCCACTTTCATTACATTTAACTTGATATCCCTTCATTGCATTGCATAACATTGGAAATTAAAACAATTTGAGAACAAGGCATATGCTCGTAGCGGTGACAATTAGTCACATTCATCGAAGGGTTATTTATGATTACTGTAACTCGATTATTTGTGCATTAAGCGATCGATAACGCAAGAGCTTATCGAGAACCTCGCAAGGGAGCTTCGAACTAACTTTCTCGTACTAATGTACCTTCGACCGACTCGTTCAATACGAACATAAACGAACCGCCTCCGCTCGCCTACTACGCGATAGCTCAAAATGAACGAAAAGTCGGATGATGATACCTGATTGGAGCTGCAAGTGGGATCGTTGGTGGGAGCCTCACCGCCAGCGAGAGCCGCATCGACGGCAAGACTCAATATCTCGGCGCTGTGCCACTGCTGAGGGTTTAGCTGATGGGCGCTCTTGACTCCGGTGAAGCTGTGCCTCTTTCTGCTGTGTCGGTTGGCCACCGTAGGCGGCGAAATGGCCGGGCTGCTGGGGCTGCTGGGCGTCGTGCTCGAACTACCGGAGCTGGGACTCGTTATCACGGGTGACGAGGTCGTCGTCGAGCTGCCGCCCGATGATACATTCGGACTCGACTCGTAGGTTGGCACTACCGCCGCCTGAAAAATTTATTCCGCTATAATGTTGTGCTTTTGGCGCAACTATGCGTTTCTCATCGTATATGTGACGTCCCACGGGCACATTGAATTGCTCACAAACACTTCCATTACATTACACTTTCTTATTCAGTATTTATCTTAATGCACACTACATACTCTCCATAGGCATTTCAAGGTTTAATCACTTTTAATGAAACATTAATGTGAATAAATATTTAAAATATAAAAGACCTATTACATTCGAGCTGAAAATTTGATATTTTTTTCTATTGTAGTTCTTGGAGAAATGTAGATACAGAAATATAGACGAAGAAGAATATACATACCAATGTGGGATGTTGTCTTGGCTGATTGGATGTCTGTACTGTGCGTGTATGATCGGTGGGTATCAGCGGAGTGGTTTCTTCGTTCGTTGGGGTTGGTGGAGCTACTTTCGATGGTCCTGGTTGAACGCTGGATTTTACCATAATAAAACTGATTGTTAACATTCATGTTGCATTGTTATTATTAATGTAGTATGATTAGACTACTTACTTTGTGGAGAGTTTCATTAGTGCTCTAGCAACGCTATTCAATTCTACAAAAGCCAAAGGAAAGATTCCTATTCGATCTAAGAGTTTACCTTCTGCCCAGTTCTCATCGACTCTTCTAATGACACTAATCACTTCGCCCTGAGAATCGTATTTAATGATTTAAATAAACGATCATAAATGATATATATATATATATATATATATATATATGTAAAAAATTATCTCAAATTACATTTTCAAATCAAGCTTTATCGCAAAAGATTTACAAGACTAAGAAATTTATTTGTATCGCATATTTTAATGTTTGAGTTGTAAGTTATAAAATGAGTTTAAGAAGTAAATTAACAAGAGAATTTATCATTTATTATTTCAAGGATGAAATTGATTTTATTAATTAAAATTCTCAGTTATTCATAATTTCTTTGAAAAATAAATTATATAAGATATAATTTTAATTTTCATTACATACTAAAAATGCCATTGTTTATTTAAATAACTTCTGTACCTTATTAAAAGTAAGACAACCATCTTCTTCGTCGTTTGACATTCTGAAGTCATAGAGAGCTTTACATTGAGGAACATGAGGAGGCAAAGGAGTTATTACCTAAAAATAAAAAATTACAAAATTAAAAATAAGATAAAAATATAAAACCATATACTTTAATGTAATGGATAATAAACATACTTGGACATAAGATAGAGGAAAAACACCATGATTAGCTCCACATTTTCCAAGATACCAGTTGTTGTCAATTTTTTTTCTTAATATAATGATATCACCTTTTCTAAAGCTTAAATCCCTGTAACAAATACGTATACATAAATCAATTGCTACTTACAAGTACAGAATAAAGTAAAAAAAGGTTATTACCCATACGCGCGCGCGCGCGCACGCACATACACACACACACACACAGAGAGAGAGAGAGAGAGAGAGAGAGCCAGACACACAGACACACACACTATGTTGCAGAAATTATTTAACAATAAGTAATTTAATATTCATAAAAAGATATCAAAGTCTTAATATTAATTTGAATTTTGGATACATTTTTCAATAAAAAACATACTTACCCTGGAACTTTTGAGACATAATCATAAATGGCACGCCCATATGGTCGATTATAAAGGTGAACTTGCTTAGCAACTACTTGTTGCGCAGATTCTGGTGTGACTATTGCAACTGGTGGATTTGGAATCACAGTAAGACTGGTTGGAGTGACTTGATGGCCACCTTGTAATCTCTGAGGAGTATTATTGATCCTTTGAGGAGTTTTATTGCCTTTTGGAGTGGCATTTTTCATGCCTTCCAGAATCCTCATCAGAAGAACATTGGGTGGCAAGTCGTCGACTTTAGCATTAACGAGAACTCGACATTCGGGGCAACGGAGCTCTCTATGAGTAATAAGTATCTCTTCTAGGCACTTTTTACAAAAGGTATGCTGACATGGCAATACCTTACTGGATGTATCCAGACGCTCCAAACATACTGAGCACTCCAAAAGATCATTTAGCATACACTCATCCATCGTCCTCTGCAAAGTTTTCTATTAAAAAAATTAATTAATTTATTGATATTTATATTGATAGTCGTTGACAACCAAAATAGTCGTGCGTATTAATAGAATTGATTTTACTTTATAAGTTTTATGAATTTTTAAATCTATCTTTGGTTAATAAATATTATAAATCTGACAATTATACGATTTAGTTATAAAAATGTCGATTCTCCTGTTCCAATGAATGAGTGGAATCGTAAAAAAAGTTTTAAAAATATTCTACAGCTCCTCTTTTATCAGTAGTCAATAATAGGTTAATGGTTAGCCTCTAATTTTAATATTACAATTAAGTGAAACGATACTTCTAAACGAACGTTTATTAATTAAGTTAATCTACAGTAACACTATAAGTTGTTTGATATATAATGAAATAATAAAAATTAATTTTTGGTATAAATATATGTGTATATATGCATATATATGTGTGTGTCTGTGTGTGTGTGTGTGTGTGTGCGTGTGTGTATGTATATATGTATGCATGTATTTTTTAATTATAACAAATTAGTACTGATAATTTTTCATAAAATTTTCAATAATTAGAAGAATCTCAAGTAAAATAAAATTAAGTTGATGTTTTGTAGTTGATTATTTATACGTGACATAACTCTCATCATCATTATTATTAGATCAAAATACATGTGTTTATTAATATACAAAATTAAAAATAGTTCAATGCATCAATAACGGTGAGTCTCGAACAATGATAAATAATGTAGCTTTACGACCAGAATGATCTTCAACAAGCTAATTGTGTCAAAAGTATCATTTAATCAAAACAAATACCTACCTTAATTTTAATTGAGATTCGACTCTATTTATTATCTAAAGCAATTCCTTGGCCTAAATGACCCATCATCCATAGAATCAAGACTATGGGAGGGTAGGAGCAAGAAATAAATACATGAACACTGCTCTTATCAGAAGCAAACGATTAATTTCTTAAATGCAGGGCTGCTGTAGTATCACTGCTTGAATGCACCCAGCAATAAATGTTCACTTCTCTTAAAAATATCACAATGGACAGAAGCTAGTGCGTGAGTCAGTGCTCCATTTGGTGAAGGCTGCAGTGGCACGCGGTGTACCGTGCCATTCCAATCCGGGCTCTATCTATCTTATTAATCTACTAGCGTATGTAATACCGAACCGAGTGCGCGCGCGAGAGAGAGAGAGAGAGAGAGAGAGAGAGTGGACGAGTGGTAGAGAGGAAGAGTGGTAGAGAAGAAGAGTGGTAGAGAAGAAGAGTGGTAGTGAGGAATAGAGGAAGAGAGGAAGAGCGAGGGAATTAGAGATAGATAGATAGATAGAGAGAGAGAGAGAGAGAGAGAGAGAGAGAGAGGGAGAGAGAGAGAGTGAGAAAGAGAGGTTAAACGAATAAAGTAAAAGGGCGCCGCGACTAGGTCCTGCAAAAGCACATTCCTAGGACTGAGTAACGCTTCTCCGCGGTGTCGAACTCCCTGGCGCCGACGTGGTTTGCATCAGCGACTTTTGCATACTCCCGAAGCTCTTGCTTCTATTTCGCTCGTAATATAAACCTGCTTAGCGAGCTACGGTGAGTGCAGTAGCCCGACGAATGCACTCACTGTTGTTGCTCCGCCATTTCTTCATTTCCGGCTCCCTCTCGCTCTATTGCTCGCGCCGTTCCGCGGCCCTCATCGATCTTCTCTCTTGCACTTTCTCATTGCTTTCTCGTGGTGCTTCGACAATTCGACCGTCACACGTAACGTTCATATGTATATGCATCTCCCTCTTACACCTTGCTGCCTCGCACCGAGCGCTGCCAGTTGCGTTTGCCGTGCGTGAATACGTATAGGCACACACAGGCGCGTAGCCGACGATTGCACAGGTGCTCGGGCGCGAGCGAGAGAGAAGAGGCGAGAGGGAGAGTTCGCCTTTTTTTCCTTTTAACGCTCTCGCTCTCGGTGACACGCGCGTTTATTATCACGAGGGCGACAAGTGCGGTTACGTCCTCGCTTCGATCCTCCTTTTTCGCGCTTCGAACGAGCTTCCATTTTATTATCGCCGCATAATAAGAAAAAAGGGAGGAAAGTTTTTTGATAGGTATCGACATAACGTCCACGAGTATTATTATCGACGAAGGTACAAGCTTAAGCGCATACGACTATGCTACCTTGCTATGCTCGACATTAGACATACGTTTAATTCGTTTCCGTTTCAAATAATAATCAATTTACAATATCTTTCTCTTCGACGTGCGCATCATAAGACCGTCGATCAGTAAATTAATCGCAAATTGTTAATTCGATTTATTTGTTTGGGGTGTAAGAATTGGGGTATCCACAAAATGTTAATATGACATTGAGTTTCAATTACGTAAATGTGTATTCAATGAACCAATAGTAATACGTAATTTTTTGTAAAACTTATTAATTTTGAAAATACATTTATCACTAATGCTATTGTTCTTGTTTGTTATTATTATTATTATCATCATCATCATCATCATCATCATAATTAGTGATTTAATTACTGAAATAATATTGTCAACAAAAGATAAAATTTACTTCGAATTTTCTAGCCTACGCGTTTAAAGCGTTTGCCCAAATAGGAATTTCAGTTTAATTTCATAGAATATTTGCAGACTCATATTTTTTACCCAAAAGACTTTTATAGACCGGTTTCCGCTACAATTTCGCATGACATTTATTAATTGCCGCGTTAAAAATATCCTTACAACACTGAGTTGAGCAATACATATTCCTTTATTATCATTACGTAATTTACCCCTACATCCTCCTCCCGCCACTTTCTCCGTCCTATTTTATATCTCGCAATTCCGTCACAAAATTCCACACCATTTAGATCACCTGTGTAGGATAGAGTGTAGGTCAAAAATTTTTAAATAATTTGTTTTTCTTTTAAACTATAAAGTAAATTTGTTCGATACTTTTTTAATTAAATTATGTATTGTGTTCTAATTTAAAATAAAATAAATTATTCTCGTTTTGTAATTTGATTTAGAGTTTTAGTTCTAGTTTTAGTTCTCTGATAAAAGTGTCTCCTCGGTTTAAAAATTATCAATATTTTCTTACTGCGTTATAAATTTATAAATTTATAAATTTCAATATTTTCAAAAGTTATGCTATGAATAGTTGATCGTTTAGATATCTATTGACCGAAATTCGTATCAACCATATTCAACGTTATGGACTATATGCATAATGTACCCTAATAATGCAATTTCAGATAGAATTTAATAATGCAGAGAATATTGAGTTATCTAATTTAATTCAATTTAATTCAATTTGTCTCGTTTATTATACATTGTAAAAGAAACAAAAACAAAAAAAAATGCCAGAAACTTTTATATTTTCAAAATTCAATCTATTTTACGTAAATATAGTTTAAATATTTTTAATTTTTAAATTATTATAATTGAAAAAATAATTGTTTTACTTACATAATATAAAGCCTAAATAGAAACGATGATTTTTTCTTCCAAACTTTATATTTAAATGCAAAGTATTAAAAATTAAATAACATGCTAACCGCGAGTTTTCCCATAATAAAAGATTAATAGATATATTAAATAGTTAGTTTAGTAAATTGTAATAATTTTAATTATATTTTTATTATATATTTATTTCAAATAAAATAAATTTATATTTTTTTCAATTATTTAATTACAAGATAATTGCATTTTGTTATATTAATATTTAAATTTGATCAAATCACGTATTATTTTACAATTATAGAATTTTAAAAATGATTGAACTTCAAATTTGTATTATGTCAACAATAATTTTAATATTCTACAAAAAAAAATTTTTCCACAATAATATTATAATAAGATTTTATTTAATAAGAAACATTAACTCAATCAGGTCAGTAAAAATTTTAAATAAATAATAATTATTTGCCTGTTTTATTATACAGTATTATAAATATTTTAATAAAAAAATTCAGATTCACAATTGATGTTGTATTTATTGAAATAACTCAATTTTATCATTTGCAATAATGCATTTTAAAGTATTTTTTTTACCTTGTAAAGAATTGTATACGCGGTAGTAAATATTTTTTTATTTTTCTAAGTCTCACAAAATTTAAGCATCGACTTTATTATTTTTTTTTAATTTACATATTTTACATATATTTATGTTTAAGAATATAGTAATTTCAGGTGCAAAAACATAATTAATGATAATCAAATATTCTCTTTATATGTAATTTTATTATGCAGGACAGAAATTGTTGAAAATTTCTTAAAGTTGACGATCCAACTAGAATTTGCTTTGATTTTTCCTTTGCCCTTTCTCACAGTACGAAGTGGTAAAAATGAAAATAGTATACTGCCGACACGAGCGATTAATGCATAAAATATATATTATGTTGAGTAATACATATAAGAGTGCATGATGATACATTAAAAACAAATGGTATAAAATAAAATAAAACAAATGATATATTTTTAATTATAAAACGTTCTTATTTATCGAAATAGTGTCATTAAGTATTTGCTATAAATATTTATGAAACATCTTAAATTATCGAATTAAGAATTTCTATTGTAAGAATAAATGAATTCATAAATTATTTAAAATAATTAGAACAAGCGTTCCTAATCTACATGAAAAAAAAAAAATAAATAAATAAATACATTTAGTAATTTATTTAAATATATTAACGTACATTTTCAAGTATTTCTCGAGCGATTATCAATTGGTTATTGTTAAATGAACCTAATGTGAGTTATTAAACTCCAATGTAACTAATCCGAAATGTCACCGACATGTCATAGACATAGTTTTATTGAAAATAATTATTTTATTACGGAGATTTAATGGTTAAGTTAATAAAATTAAAGCACGCGCAAATTTAATAATATATTTCATTAACCAAAAATCATTCAACATTACGATTAAAAACGATTACATAAAACCTGCGTAAAGATTAATTTTTACGCATACACGTAATTCATAAATAAATAAAAATTTTCCCTTTAAATTAATTAGCTTTATTAACAAAATAATACATTAATTCATTTCACCAGTTTCTTCGTTTGAAAGTATTGTTATATAAGTCCGTTAATCAAGACGCCGATACAATCAGCAAAACTTGACTTTGACTCTTGTCGGGACAAAGGCCGAGGAATAAATGAAATAAAATGCACACATAAAATGATCACGTATTTCGTGTATTCATGTGCATCAAACAGAAAATTAAAAAACTATCCCTAATACGGACAACGGTTGAATAAAGCTGAAACCACAAATTCACGTGCCATGATACATTTGCGATGGCAATTATTATTAATTACATATTGTTTATTAATTTTAGTGAAGGCGTCGGGCCTTTGTTAAAAAAGCAATTAGTATCTAGTTTGGAAAATTTCTGATGACAAAACTGACAGATTGAAAAATTTATAAATTAATGAGTTTCATTAATTGGTAACGCGTTCATTAAAAATAAATTATTGCCTACAGATGTTGATGTGACGTATTTGATTCATTTAATTAGAGATATAATCTCAGGTTAGAAATATTTTGAAAGCAATTTAACGTGTATTGAAAATTGTAAGTTTATAGAGCTTATAACTCTAGCGAACGGCAATATACATATACGTGCGTGCGCGTGTGTGTATGCGCGCGCGCGCGCGCGCGCGTGTGTAATTACACAAATATATAAACAATTATTTTTAAATAAGAAAATGTACGAATAGTATATAATAGACCCATAATATTAGAAATAAATGTGTAAAGAATAACGTTTACGACACTGTTACGCATTAATGCCCTCGTAAGATTTATTTGGAATTACGTAATTAAATAAAAAGACGAGCACGAGCGTACATTGGTAGTTTCGTTTAATTTAGTTTAATATATATTAAATAGTTTCAAGAAAAGTATAAAGGTCCTCCTAATGCCTTAGAATGACGATTAACGTGCACATAATGTGGCTTTCACGAGTTGAAAAGCTGTGATAAAATATTGATGCGTAAATAAATAATACTAAAGCCTTATAAGTGATAAAATAAGTATAAAAGAAAATTACCCGATAAAAGTTTATTTTAATATAAAAAAAAAAAATAATTGTACGAGTATTACTGGATATCGATACTTGTTTATATTACAGTTACTCGCGATTTGCGACAGCAGCGCTCATGAAATGGTGGTAAAAGGGGAAAGCATTTGATTTTCGCTACTGCCAACACTGTCCCGTTCCTTGTTCTTTTACACATCTATCTTTTTTCAGCTCATTCTGGCCTGGAGTTAACTAAAATGTGCGCGCGCAGCCCGGATGTTGCGCACGCATGCACATATCCCAAATTCTCTCCTCTGCCTTTTTCGTCCTCTCTTTTTTTCATTCCCTTTCTCTTTACATCTTTCTTAAGTTCTAGTGGATGCCTTTGAAGTCCCAACTTAGCGTACGCGACGCGATTCAACATACTTTGATGTCGATGCGAGGTCCGGCAGAATTCGCACAATGACTTCGTTGCAAGACTAAACATTCGACGCTGCTGAGAAAGAGACGTCCCAACGCACTTAAATGAGATACGCGCGTATGGGGACGACAGCGTTACAACGGCGTACCAATCAAACAGTCCATTAGCATCCAATTTGGAACTACCGAATTACCCGCGCAATCTAACCTCGAAATCGCATTAATAAACTAACCTTTAAAAGAAAAGGTCGAAGCTGTAAAAATGGCTGAAAATAAAGATCGTACATGCAAAAGGTACTATGGCGTCAAAAATGATCGTAAACAGGGCGGCGGCGGCGGCGGTGTCGGTGTTGGCCAGTCGGACGGCCACGAATTACATATACACACATGTTGCGAGGTGGGGCACGGTGACGCGGCAAACGGAGCGGCGAAGGGGTACGAGGGAGGGGCGGGGAAGAGACCAAAAAACGAAACGCTTCCGCACCGGCGGCCGAAGAGAAGGGGAGCTGTTAATAGCCGACTTGTGTCGGCGTTCGTGGCCCCGGGGGGTGGGGTGGTGGTGATGGCGGCACTAGGGTGGGAGGCGAAGAGGGACTCCGCGCGTTCGTACCTCGTCATTCCCTCGCCGCGAGAGGGGCGCAGTGTTATGTATTCGTCACGTCATAAGTCACGTGATCGACTAACAACGGTGTCATTGACGTCGGCGATACGTCGGCGATACGTCGTCACGTACGCGTGGACTCTGCGCCTCTTACCTTAGCGCCAAAGTTTCAAAATGTTTGATCGACTACTTCATGCACATGGCCGCCCGCCTATACGCATACGCCGATTAGCGTGGAGCTTTAGTTTTGATAACGAACGAACGCTTGGTTCATCATTTATAATCCAAACGTCATCATTATATGTAAGAGGGCGACGCACACAATGCAATTAATAATGTTTATTTGATATTTCGTATAGAGATTCCGGAGCTTACTCATGAATTTTGATGAGTTAGCCTTTTATTGTAGATTACGAACATATATTTATTCGACACCTAAATGCTTCACAATTTTCTTTTGCTTCCCTCTTTCCTCTCCGAGCTTCGCCTCCATTTCTTCTCCTTTTTTTCTTCTTTCATTTTTCTTTTTTTCTTTTTCAAAATAAATACTTGTAAACATGTCCATGTAATCTACAAGTGATTTGAAACGAGTACTGTAAAAAAGATTTACTCAAATTTTTAAGATACAGTTCGAAGGCAATTCGACGAGAGATCGACATTCTTCGGTTTCATATTGGAGAGCATTTGTAAGCTGCAGGATCCTATAATTGCCGGATTTGAGCGAGGCCTACAGATGTTATAATAATAATTGGCTATTGCTGGTCAAAAGGAGAAAATGTAGGATGTTAGTAGAATAGCGATGTGGGCACGGAGAGGTGCTTGTGAGAGCGGGGGTGTCTATTAAACCGTAAATAAAAATTTGAAACGAAATGAGAGGAGGGAAGAGGGCAATAAGTATGACGGTAAGAGCGACGGTCAGCGATCGTTATATCATCAACGGTGTACCGGAAGCGAGGAGGGCGAGTCCCTCCCCGCTTGGCCGCTTCGCGGTCGCTCGGTGCTCCCCTCCCCTGCGCCCCGGCGACCAATCAAGTGTGACCGGAGGGGGCAAGAGGGGCGGAAGGGCCGAGCACTGTTGTCAGGGGCAGAGGGGAGCTGCTACCGCCACCACCGCCGCTGCCGCTGCCGCTGCCGCTGCCGCCGTCGCCGTCACCGCCGCCGCCGCCGCCGCCGCCGCCGCCGCCGCCGCCACCGCTCTCGGGGAGCGCGAAGTGAAGAAGAAGACGAGGAGAAAGACGGACAGGTTCGCCGCGCCGCCATGACACACTGCTAGTCCTGCTGGTAGATAATTCGTGGCGCGATCACGCGAAGATATTCACGGAGCTTGGCCAGGGTTAATCGCCTCTTCCTTTCTAAGTCGTATCGTCGTTGTCCCCGTATTACGCACGAGTCGCGCCATCAGCAGGACGGGTTTAGTAAACGCGCGCGCGCGCGCGCACCGCCCGAAAAAAATTCACCGGCGAGAAAGAGAGGAAGAAGCGGCAACAGGAGCAGCAGCAATCACGACAGCAGTAACAGTAGCAGCAACAGCGACGAAAACAGCAGCGGCGGCGCATTTATCTCTTCCCGTCTGTCTCGGGGACGCAGAGTAAGAGGCGCGTCCCCCCTTGCGTACGTGACTCCGCGCCTAGCGCACACGTGTGTCTGTGTGTGCGCGCGCGCGTGTGCATGTGCGTCGTTGAGCGGCTGTGTGGTGGCGCCGCGACGTAGGCGAGGACGAGGACGCTTAGCTCATCGCTCGTGTGTACGTCCTGGTAGGGTGCGCGGCTAGCGCGACGAGCTCGCCAAAGGAGTAAGACCAACGGGGGCGAAATCGAGTCAGGGGGCTCTCCCGTAGCTAGCCTAAGGAGAATCATGCCCGTTGTCACCGTTGCTACCGCATCGAATACGGCGACCATGGCACCGGACACCACGTGAGTGTCTTTCTCTTCCTCTCTTTCCTTTCGCGCGCTCACTTTCTTTCTCTCTCTCTCTCTCTCTCTCTCTCTCTCTCTCTCTCTCTGTGTTTCTGTCTCTCTCAATATCTTTGCACGTCGTATCGCTAGCGAATTTAGCTTGGGCCGCTTATTTTCTATCCTTGAAACCACTAACGAGCTTTTTCACGCACATCCCTTCCCCTCTCCTTTCCCTCTATACTCTTCAATACGGCCTTTCCCAACGTACAGAATTTTTCTATCTTGGGATTCAATGCTGCGTCGTGCACCCACATACGCGCGTACGAGCGTGTGCGTGCGTGTGGTTTGTGTGCATTAGTGCACTGGCAACCATCTTGCTGTGTGTTTTGGATGTACATAACGGCGGAGAAGAAAAAAAAAAAACGGACCTCACGGATTAAGAAATTCACTTATGCGCGCGCGCGCGCGCGCCTATCGAAGTATGGCTGCCTTAAGAAACGAAGAACGGAGCACATTCATTTGTCCCCGTTCGGAGCTTCGCCTTGGAGCTTAGTCAGTGTGCGTGCGTCCATGTACGTGCGCACAACCAGACAGTGCACAAGATCGTCGCATGCGTAGTAAAATCTCTGAGTTGATTGGCTCTCGCCTTCGCGGGCGATAGCGTGATTAGAGATTTTACTGCGCATGCGACGATCTTGTGCACAGTCTCGGCACGTTGGTGTGTGTTGCTTCGCTTCGCGCTTTTAACCCGCAGCTTTTTTTCTTTTCGGTTTTTTTCTTTTTTAAACAACTAGGCATTTATGAATTCCTATACATATTTATGCATGCACATACACAAGTGAATCTATGTGCATCGTGCATGAAATATATGCGCCCACACACATGCATTGGTGACTGTATATATATAAGCATCATACATAGTGTGGGTACTGTGTATATAAATAATCTGCATGGCGATGTGTAAGCGGATACGCGCGCGCGCTCACTCGGTCGCTCACACAGTGTTCGTAGGCTCACATAAGTGAGTGCGCGAGCGCGCACCTTACATTTACGTACGATCGCACGCACATTTCATCGAACATTTTTAGTATCACGATTTCATTTTTTTCATTATCGATGCAGGTTAGAATAATTTTCGAGGTTTTGATATTTATGCGAATGCTGTGAACCGTGTAGTCTCATAAAGCTTTGTTACTAGTCGATCCCTAATGAATCAGCCAACATACGCGCGCGCGCGCGCGCACACACATCTACATGCACACGCAATAGCTTCTTTTATTGAATACCCATTTTTTCTATTTGATGGTTAAAAAATAGCATTTTTCTTATTTACTGCTTTTGTATTATTTATAAACTATTTAAATAATGAAATATTTAAATATATCTAGAAATTTTGTATTTCAAGTTTCATTTATTGAACAGAAGCAAATCTCAATCGAATGAAATATATAAACCAAGTTTGTTTTACGTGCATGGCACCTATAAAAATATGAAAATCTTCTTTTTACATTTAACCATAAAATCATCGACTACATATTTTCAATGTTTTAGATAAATCTTTATTAATTGGAGAAGCTTCTAAAAGCGACACTTGTATTTATATTTATGTCATATTCATCTTTGTATCGATCTGAATAATTTTTTATTTGTCGAGTCATGCATAAGAATACAGAGAATTCTTAAATTTGTTAAAATAAATTTAAGCAAAATATTTTATATATAAAATTATGCAATTTATCAATTTTTATCAAAATGAAAGTAGTATTGAAGTTAGGTTTATGCTATTTTGATAATGAATTAATAATGTATATACAAAAAAATAATATATATATTTAATTTACAATACCCGTGATTTTCTGATTTATTGTAGACTATTTTATTTTTGAATATTAATTTTATTATTGATACAATTGAAAATTCAAGCTGTTAAAAGTAAGTAAAGTAGTTTGCAATTGCTATAAATTTAGTTTAATGTTGTTGATAATATAATAAATTTCAAGTTGCATTGATTATATAATCGTGATATAACCGTTATCAACCTGAAATATTTTTATACAGCTATTCAATCGAAGGAAAGATTTTATGTTTTGTGATGAAAAAGTTCTTTCTTATTAGCATTTACCACATATAGATTAAAAATTGTAACAAATTTCTTTGAGAATATCTGGTTCTTAAGTTTAAAATAATTTATTATTATACTTTTTAGAATAGAAAATGAAGAATACAGGAAGTGTTTGATCGATGGTTTTAATTGAACAAAAATGAATAGTGAGCAGCATGCTCTGCCAGCGACAACGCAGGCTCAACAAGAGGTGAGATTTTGTCTTTTATATAGTCCAACATATTACTAAAAATATAATATATATTTATGACCTTCTACTTGTAAAGGGAGATTTATTCTATTAAAGCTTGTTAGTAATTGTCTAATGAAATATAAAATTTCTATTATTTGTAAATAGTAGAATTGCACATTAATTTTTATTGGTTTTTCTCTATTTTTAATTAATCTACTTGGTATTAGATGTTTACTTGATTTACGTAGCTTAATAAATAAGGCTTTGCTTATATATTTAAATAATAGCTTCTAAAATGTTTTTTAACCGTTCTGTAGAGTGCATGTGTAAGTGTACGCACGTGTGTATGTATGCCTGCGTGTAGATGTGAATTATGTGCATATATTTTGAACCTAGAGTACCACACAGATTTGCTATTTATTTTTGTTTAAAAAATTTGTAATTATTAATGTATTATTTCCATGAAAATATTTCCAATCTCATCTCGTTAATAATTGTTTATATTTAATATTATGTTTATCTGTTACCTTTTCAAATTCATTCTGTGATAATTGTAGCTTCATTTGTTTATATTACTTTTTATCAAATTGTGCATATTGAATAAAATAAAATAATTATAGATCCAAACCTTAACTAATTTAATTTATGCTATTAATACTCAGTATATTTAAATATTTATCTTGTTGGTTTTTACTTTTTTGTTATTCTGAAGTTTACTTCTTAAAATACCATAATTCAAATGTCATACTAACGTCAAACTTTAACCCACAAAATTATCATAAGCAGTTTCGTTTTATTAACTAAAGCTTCACAGATTTTGTGATACTCATTAGGAAGGAATATAAGTTCCAGTGCATTGGTTGACTGAATTTGCATTGCATGCTCTTGCATGTCTAATTGATGTTGTAAAAATGTTTGAATGTGCATTGGTAGGAAGTAAGCGTGGGTCAAAGCGGTCGCCCCTCGTATCCAGGTGGTTTGGCAACTCCGACAAGCCTTGGCAATGTAGGGAGCAATTCTCATTCATCCGCGGACCTACGTGTAGGTACAGCTGTAGCATTAGCCTCCTCGGTAGCAAAGTACTGGGTCCTCACCAATCTTTTCCCTGGGCCGATACCACAGGTATCAGTGTATCATCATCCTCATCACAGAGCTGGTGCTGGAGGTGGTGAAGCTCCAACAACAACCAAAGATTCAGCAGCATTGTTGAACCAAGATATGTCATTAACTTCTGGTACACACCATCAGACACCAACTTCGCACCATCATCAGCCTTCGGTCAGTAGGAGTAGTCATCATAGCTCCCTGCAGACCACTGCACAGGTTTGTCAGAGTAGTGTGCATGTTATATGATATAGAAGGTAAAATGTAGATTTTTTTTTATTGTATTTCTTAGAACACAGATAAAATATAATACAGATTTTCTATTAGATGTTCTTTTATATTATGTTTTAATCTTGATATTGCAATAAGTAATTGTAATCAATCACATGTGTTTAATAAATTTTATTATTTATAGTAGATGTTGCCATAAATTTGTATTTTTTAACTTGTGATTAGTTATTCCACAAATAAATGCGTATATCGAAGTCAATTTAATTGATTTAAGGACTAATTTTAAGGATACCGAAATAAATAATTATAAATAATAAGTTATGCGATAAGTACAAAAGTCAGCGAAATATTTATATACACTTAAAGGTTATACCAATTAAATTAAATTTTAATTTATTCCAATTTAAGCATTGAATTTATTTTTAAATTATTAATGAGTTTTATAGAAGAAAAAGAATTAAGTTTCACAAATATTATGAAACACCATTTTTAACGTTAGCTCTTTTAAGATTCCAGTCTCTTTGCCGGGACTTAATCTTGATGGAAGTCACCTTCAAGCAAGTGTAAGTCACTTGCAAGCAGCGCATGCCCAAATGCAGCAACAAATGCAGTCACAGCAACAGCAACAGCAGCAGCAGCAGCAGCAGCAGCAGCAGCAGCAGCAAACACAGTTGCATCAGCAACAACAGCAACAGGCCCAATCTCATCATCAGATGCAGAATCATCAGAATGCACAAAATACAGGTCAAACCAGCCAGAATCAGAGCTTATCCAGGGACAACAAGCCTAAGGAAGAGACATCGGATCGTTGTAATGACAATCAGGTCCACTCTCACGTTCAACGTGACCACCAACATCAGCAAGCACAAGATATACAACAAAGTCTAATGCATCAGCAGCAGCAAATTGGTGTGAGCATCGGAGGTGCTTCTGCTGCAGATGGTGCTCCCTCAAGTGGAGTGGATAAAGTTGAAAAGAAAGAAGATATACGTCAATTAAATATGACCCAGTAAGATATCTTTACTTTCATTTCTTTATAAAAATTAGTTTATTTTAAAGTAAATTAATTTTTGAAATGACGTGCATTGTTCATCATTTGTATAAATAACTAATGATGTAAAAATAAATATTTCTAAATATTTCTAAATCGTAAAATAAGATATATAAAAATTTTGTTCGTTGTAATTTTCTGTAAGTTCTAATATGCAAAATTTCGTTAATATACTCTTCAAAGTTTCTATAGAATATTCTATGTCATTAAAAATTACAGATTTCAAGTACCTGATCTGAAATCAGGAGGTCACATGATGGATGTTAGAACAGCGGATGGATCTATTGTTAAAATCAGCGCTGCTAATGATCAAGATCTTGCAAAAACATTAGGAGTCGATATTTCTCAGTACATCAATAAGGTAAGTTTTAATAGGATCATAAATGTACTGGCAAAAATAGCTTAAAAATTTCTTAAGTTTGTTTTATTACTATACTCGATAAGAATGTTATTTAATTTTCTTTCACAATAGTCAATTGAATTAGTCAACAATTAGAAATATATCACAGTAAGATATAAAAAAAAATAAGATAATTTTTGGTAATGATAACTTTTTGTTAGATAAGGTTAAGGCTCGTAATTATTCAGCTGTTATTGATTGTGCAAAAGATTGTTATGGTCAATAAATACTAAAATATGTACATAAATAAAATGTATGGTATTATTGTATTTTGAAACATAAAAATCAGTATGCGATATTAGACATTACAGTACCATTTATTCGATGTATACAAATAATGTTAAAAAATTCCATGAAACTATATCTAAAATAAAAACGTATCTATGTGAATAGGGAGCCGTGAACGTCGAGGAGTTGAATCAGATAAATCAGCTGCTGGCGTATCACGAAGTTTTTGGAAAGTTGCAGAGCGAAATAGCCGCTGGTACCACGTTGATTGGTGGCACAGTACCAACGCAGACGGTCACAACGATACAGAACGGCACGCCCTTAGTGCAACAAGTGCAGCTAAATAAATTTGACATAAAGACGAGCGATGGTGAGGTGACGCCAGGTCCAAGTGGTTCGCCCGTGTCCGTAGGCAGTCACGCCTGCGAGGTTTGTGGCAAGATCTTTCAATTTCGCTATCAGCTGATCGTCCATCGAAGATACCATACGGAAAGAAAGCCTTTTACTTGTCAGGTCAGTAGTAGTGTGTTGTTACCAGCCTTCATTTGTGCAGCGGGTTCATATTGAATAAAGGGTATTTTCATATTTATTAACATGCACTTGTGAACAAATGTATTCGATGAACTAGTGATATACCTTTGAAGCAATTATATATTTTGTTTTTATTATATATTTTGCATGTTTGTTTAATAAATCCTTTATAGTCATTGTTTAAAATATCGTTTGTGTGCAAAAATGAAAAATAATTGTGAGATTTACTCTAATAGTAAAATAGTAAAATGAATATCATTGGAAAATATAACGATAAATGTATTATATGAAGTTACATAGGCTTAAATAATTGTAAAATAAAATTTATCTTGATAAATTTAAGTATTAAATTTTAAAATTTTATTTAAGATTTTTTATGCTGAGAAATTTCATATTTAAATAAGTATTTTAGGATTAGGAAATAATAAATTCAAGTTTTTATGTTAATATTACCAAAAATTACCTTAATCAATTTTAACTTTAAATGAATTAAACAATGAATATTTTCATCAGCCTCTTTGACTTGAAAAAATATAACATTTATTTGCATACTTGCCATTTATATTTAGGATTACAAAATATCCTCATACTATATGAAAAATTGTTCAATAAATTAATGTATTTTAAAGGGGGGGGGGGAAATATATATATATATATATTAAGGAACTATGAAATTATTAATAGGTCTTAATGCGTATACCCAGTAGTAAGAATTTAAGATTTCAAAAAGTAATAGCAGAATTAATAATCATTTCAGTACAAGTTTTATCGTATTAGATACGAAGAAGTTAGATCCCCACACTTTATTTCGCTACATGATATAATTCTTTAGCTGTAAAGTTACATAAATGAAATTCCATGATAATTTACTTTATTAAAAATGTAATGCTTTGGTAATCGTTATTTTGATTGAAACTAAGTCATTGTCGGGCCCATTAGAGAATATTTGTTTCCAATATAAAGCGAGAGAAATGTCATTGTTTTAATGAAATATTTATGGCTAGGTATGCGGCAAGGCATTTACAACTGCAAGTGATTTAACGCGTCATGGAAAATGCCACTTAGGTGGTTCCATGTTTACTTGTGCTGTTTGCTTCCATGTTTTCGCTAATGCCCCGTCATTAGAGCGACACATGAAGCGTCATGCCACCGACAAGCCATACAATTGTACGGTTTGCGGCAAAAGTTTTGCCAGAAAAGAGCATCTTGATAATCACACAAGGTGCCATACGGGAGAAACTCCATACAGGTTAATAAACTTTATTTATTCGTAAAATCATGTCATTTGATTGAATTTTATGTAAATGGATATTATATTGTTTGTAATTCTCGATTAAAAAATATAATTAAGATCTCAGTGCGTGAAAATAATCGTGGTGTCAAGTTTTTAAATACATATTTTAAAGTTCATTAGATGGTTGGAATTATTTTATTTTTTATTATAATTTTTTTTTTTTTTTTTTCATTTGTCATTTTGTAAAAATGTATAATTGCCATTTATTCAATAAAACTTAGTGAAATTAAGTAAATAAATATTTACTTTTATTCAGATGTCAGTATTGCGCCAAAACTTTCACGCGCAAGGAACATATGGTGAATCATGTACGTAAGCATACAGGAGAAACTCCTCATCGCTGCGATATTTGCAAAAAATCTTTCACGCGCAAGGAGCACTTTATGAATCACGTGATGTGGCACACTGGCGAGACACCCCATCACTGTCAAGTTTGTGGCAAGAAATATACCCGCAAGGAGCATTTGGCCAATCATATGCGCTCCCATACCAACGACACGCCATTCCGTTGTGAGATTTGCGGTAAGTTTTCCAATTTAATCAAAATTAAAATTTTAACGAAAACTTCAAATAATCGGTACATGTCAATTTGCAATACTTTAAGCCTAATTAACGTATTTAAAAAATGCAACTTTGATAAGTACTTAAGTACCATTATAGTATAAGCTTATCCAATTCGTTCAATATAAAGTCCAAATTAAGAAGAATATATTTTAAATTTCCGCTCATTGTTTTGTTTTATAGTCATGGGTATTGGCACAAGTATTAGAAAATATAATTTAATCTTAGTTAAAGCCAATTGTAATCGACTTACATTATAGACAAAAGAATATCTATATTTCCATATTTTTTCAGTTTATATTTCAATTTTTAAATAATAAGTATTTTCAATGTTTGGATTTAAATTTCATGTATTAACAATCGATTTTACAGTATATACAAAATTTAACAAAGTTAAAATACTAATATTATGAAATTGGCAGACGTAAAAGTTGGATATACGTGATATATGCTTTCTCTTGAAAGTCCATTCGCGTTGATCGTTATTGTTGAAAGCTTCAGACGATATTTACAATAATTATCAAAAAGTCTCGAGTCTTGAATCGTATTTAGTAACTTTGCAGTAAATGCACTGCTTCATAAATGTCTTATAATCAACTAGGACTCAAGTTTTGCATATTACAAAATCTACATTCAATGGAATTTTACAAACTGCATATATCTTAATAGTCATAATACTATTTTAAAATAATTTATTGACCTATGTAATTTGAGATATTTATCGTTAATATTTTTCTATCTTTCAAACGTTTATAAGAATCCAAGTACTTCAAGATAGTGTTAATGAGATATTAATGTAATTATGTAATTTATGCATCTATAGTCATCAGTTAATAATGCGACACAACCAAATATTCGCAAATACTTTGGTTGTTTAATAAGTTATATTAAACTTGACTATCGTAGAATTTTCGTTAAGTAATGTCATTATTTGAAGAAAAAAATAAATAAAAAAAACGAGATTGATTTTTTTATTCTTCTTTATGATCGAGAAGGCCTTTATAGTTACTCGTAGATACTAAGCATCTAATTCTGATAACAAAAGTTGGCTAATAGAAATATTCAAGCATTGAGTTTTTAATAATTCATAAATGGTAATTTATTTATTATCTTAAAAATGCTTGTTTTAATGCAAATTTTAAAGATATTTTCATATTTGGCCGAACAGATTATTAAAGCATCAATAAGATCAAGTCGCTTATCGTCTGAACCCGCATAAAGTCGGTCACCCAGGGCAACCACATAAAAGGTTATCCGACGAGTGTCGCCACGACGTCGAAAAATAAAATTCGCGCGAGGATTGATCGCGTCGCCGGCGCCGTGTCCCTCACTCCCTCAAAAAACATTGATGGTATCCCCCCCCCCTCTATTACCCCCATCGACTTTTACACCAGCCGCTAAATGGCGGGGGTGGGGGGTGGGTGGGGGTGGCATCCTACAGCCCGTTATCCCTTATCCCTCAACCAACAGTCAATTGTTCTTCCCCTCTTCTAATACTTTTGTCTGGCTACGCTAAACCTTTGCTCAACATATTCAATTCTCCTCAATCATGTCATTTGGATTTACTGATTAGAGTATTATCGTCCAATCATTTCTATAGGCCGCTTTATAAAAGAACATTTTACTTTCTATGTTAACAATTGAAGACTTAAATTAATTTTCTAATACGAATACATTGTAAGACATGAATAATAATTTAGGACGGTCGTTTTTTATGATAAAAAAGTTAATCAGACGATTTTTATTAAAAAGTTAGAGTTTATTTTTCACATTATTTACAATTTTGTCTGTTGGATAAAATTTTTTTTTTTTTTAATATATACATATATATATATATATATATATATATATATATATATATATATATATATATATAGAGTGAGAGAGAGAGAGAGAGAATATATATATATATAAATGGATGATGACATTGAATGAGAAATTCCTTTCACTTTATCCCCTATTCAAGTCTTAGAACTGTAAGACGACACCCGAGGGCCGACTTATATAATGAAGCGAACGAGACATAAATTTGAAGATTAATACATACAATTCTGACATTGCGACAACCAACCTGTTGGATATAATCCAGATTTCTTTTGAACTCTATTATATACTTTTTATAAGATTATTTTGTAATTTTTTTTTTTTTTTTTTTTTTTCCCATTAAATTAGGGGATAAGGCATCATAAATAGTTTCCGTTACTGTTTTATTTCTTCGAAGAAGCTGGTCCAAGTCTACTTAGTCGGTATTTTTCTATAAAATATCGTATCATTGTGTTCATATAAATCCATTGATTAAGAGATAAAATTAATTTATAGATAAGTAATTGCATAGATGTATATACAAATATTTGAGCAGGTTTTTTAAATGAATATTGTAAAAAGATGTGTTTTAAGAATAATAATAATAATAATAATAATAATAATAATAATAATAATAATAATAATAAAAAAATCAACATTATCCATTATTATTAAATGATATGGTCAATTTATTGAAAAGATGAAAAAAGTAATTGTATTAATAATTGTATAAAGTGCTTAAATTCATTTTTTAAATGATGCGGGCTCGTCAATTTCACAAGACGAGGACATATGCTTTATGTCTAACTAAAGCTTTATATATATATATATATATATATATAGGTATATATCATGGGTATTTATCAAATTGCGTCTCAAAAATAAAAATAAAAATTTTTTTCAAGAAACGCCTTTAAATTTATAATACGTATAACGGTGGTCGAGGATAAGGGTGGAATGCAGGTATTGCGGAAGTTTGTAGTAGTTGGAGGGGAAGATTAGCGAACGGAAGGAAACAAAGAGATGATAGATCGTCTTGGCCCTTAGCTGCAGCGATTATTGCTCAGGCGCCTAGCCACCTCGTTGCGGCCGAGTATGCTCAGGACGCGGTGCGGGTCTCCGCGCCTTGAGGCTCCAGCAAGCGTACTAGAAATACCGGGATGCCGTTCCTCGCTATCTCGTTTAAACTCAATGCTTTCTATGAATAGATATGAACTCAGCTTGTACCCGTAATCGCGGTTCCTAGGATTTGCCGTATTACTCGCGCAACATACGTGTGTGTCCTTTTTGTTTTTATAATTCGTGCGCATTTTTCATGATATATGGCATCGAAATTACGAAACTTTAATTCGGTTACTGTCGGTATTGTTTTGGTCGATCACTGATTATTCGCAGTTTAAATGAAGAAACGCCATTATTAAAGCTCGGAATTGCTGTAGAATAACGTTTGCCTGACTATTGATCCAATCAGACGGATCATTTACATGGAGCTCGTGCAATTACTTTCGTTGTTTGTTTCTCTAATACTGACACGTTTGAATTGGGAAATAATTTTCTAAAAATGTACATTCTCTGCTAATCGCAATATAATTATGAAGGAAAAGTATAGTTTCTTTATCCGTATGATGGTATGTAATTTTTTATATTGTCCATTGTATTCATTGTAATTATATCCAATGATAGGTGATTTTACGAAATAATAAAAGGATCGATTATAAATAAATACAATAACTGGTAAAAAATTATTAAAATAATGTTCGATAAATAAAATTCATTGGAAATACTTTTCAAATTTTATTTTATTCGGAATTGGGTGGGGGATAGTGGTGAATGTGCTGAATATAGTTGTATTTGAATAATTAATTTATGAATATCAATTATAAAAGAATGCGGTTCGTTCTGAACATACAATTACGCTTTCAGAAATTTTTATAAAATATAAAATAATATTTTAAGATTTTCATAAAAAAAAAAACAGATCACGCCCAGTATTTTATTTGAGCCACATATGCGGTTCACGTGATTTAATAAAGTTTTTGTATTTCAAATTATAATTTTCGGATCGGTAATTTCTTTCTCGATCATTGGTTTAGCAAAAATGATCACTTGACTGATATTGAAATTCTATAAATTTAATATATGTCTCTTTTGTATTTTGACTGTGAATACAATTAATCCAATTATAATTTATTAAATCTGTTTTTCTTTTAATTTTAATACGTTTAAATTTTACCATTTATTTTTAAAACATTACAAGACGAAAAATTATAAATTAATGACTTAAGGATACAATAGTATAGCGCAATAAGCATGTTTAAAACAATTCTTTAAAAAGTATTTTAAAAATTAGAAATCATATATATATTGGAAGTACAAAAGTGTCGGAAAGAAGAGCAAATGAAAAGTTTTTTAAAAGCCTGGACTTTAGGCAGGGAATTTTCTAAAATTTGCATACTTGACAGAAGATTATTTAAGCCTAATTTAGTTACAAGCGACCAGTGCGTTTAATATTTCTCTGCATTTGGTGAGATGTTGGTAAGTACGTAGAACCCTATATTTAACCGACTTGAATATCTTTTCAGGCAAGTCGTTCACGCGTAAGGAGCACTTCACGAATCACATAATGTGGCACACCGGCGAGACGCCGCATCGCTGCGACTTTTGCTCGAAGACGTTCACGCGGAAGGAGCATCTGCTGAATCACGTCAGGCAGCACACGGGTGAGTCACCACACCGATGCGGCTTCTGCTCCAAATCGTTCACCAGAAAGGAACACCTTGTTAACCACATCCGCCAACACACAGGTGAGAGCGGTTGGCAGAGATGTTCACTTCGGCAAAAATTGCAAAATAGAGACGAATACATTAACCTCGTGAACACACATTCTTGTCTCTCTCTCTCTCTCTCTCTCTCTCTCTCTCTCTCTATCTCACTTTCTCATCCCTCCCTCATCCCCGTCTCTCTCTCTCTCTCTCTCTCTCTCTCTCTCTCTCTCTCTCTCACTCTCTCTCAGCCTCTTTCACACATATACACATCTATAGCTCACTAATCGAATTCATCTTATACTCAATTATTTTTTCTTTCATTATACGGAGTTTCTTCTAAACCAATTCAAATTACAAGACAAAGTTTTTTTGCTTATTCGTTTGTTTAACCGTTTGCTTACTAAAAATTTGTTTGATTTTGTATTTTTTGATTATTAATTGTTTTTTTCTTCAAAATTCGACGTTAGTTCATTCAAATTATCATTTAATTCAATTCTGAAATCGATTCATTATATAATGATAAGATATAAATAATTTTATAATTTACCTTTAGACGTTACCATTAAAACTCTTTTATAAAAAAAAATTAGTTTAATACAATTAAATGTACATCAATTTTTTTTATAGTTTCTTAAGTTAACCAAGATGAACATTGTTGTAACTTAAAATTGAAATTACACCTTATTTTTGCAAAGTGAAAATGACTACAGAATATTTATTATTAATAGAATTGTTTTTTTATATTTGGATTACGCATTTCTCCAATTTATGTTTACATATTATTACAAAATATGTTTACATATTATTTAAATGAAGGAATACTGAAAATTATTTAATCATATAATAAGTAATATATTTATTTTGTGTAAAAATAAGGTTAATTATGGTTAAGCTAAACAAACAAAAAAGATTGTGTACACATACATACCATCAATTATTTTATTACTTGATATAGAAACTCTTAGTTTTTTTAATCAATTCAATCGTTTTTTATGTACAAATAGATTATTTAACATGAATTTTCAAACTCAATTCCGATATTCCTTTTTCCAAAAGCAAAATTTGTTATATTTTATATGTTAAAATCTTACTTGATAATCATTATACACATAAATCCTGCTAACTTCGTTAGAAATACCACAATTCTGCCTTATACACCGCTCTCATACATGCTTAGTTATTTGCCTTTTTCGGTTAATTTAGACGCAGTTTTTAATGTCGTCTCACTAGTTCGATTTTCATTCATTTTTCCAACTGACAAAATGTTTTTTCTCGAACAATCATATGTTCTATTACGCTTTATTATTTCTCATTGGTTTACTAACAATTACACCGAAAGCGAACACTATTTATATGTATTTGCTACTTTCAATATAGGTACAATAAATTGTTTTTTTACCTAGTTAGTCGAACATTAACAAACTGCTCTTTCCTTGTAGGATTAAACATATTTAAGGTTAGTCTATGTTATCGTACTTTTAAATAAACTATATTAAATAAACGTAGTTAATACGTAATGCTACGAAGTTACATTAATGTTAATGAAATCTGGTGCACATAGACTTTCCTTGGGTGCAATACACAAAGATGGCAAATATTACAATTATCAAAATTGTTGTTTGTAATACTTAATACAATTTTGAACTTTGCTCGAGGACCATTGCTTACCTTTAGTTGAAAAAATTACGAACTAACACGACAATCATCGAAGTATTAATAATTGAAATATTTATACACTTTTAATTGATTATTTCATTGTACTTTTACACTGGCTTAAAGTCATCTTATATTCCTATTGATGTTGTTAATATTTTGATTATGATTATATTTTGACTATAGAAGGATTTAACGTCATGGAAATTTTAAATTTCAGACATGAAATGTAGTTAATGTTTGACCATCAAGTGAAAATTAAAATATATTTGTTCTTTTAATTAAAAATGCATACCTAAGTAATAATCTAAAATTACCTATTTATAAACTTAAAAATTCATATTTATTTATAGATTGAAAAATTTGAAGTTTTACGGTTTTATAAATTGTATATGACTAAATTTTAAATCATTGATAATTATTTATAAAATATATTTTTTGAAAGAGAAAAAATGATCCTAAGTAGATCAATGACATAACCGAGTTCTGCTAAGTTTGCAGTTCATTCTTTGCTTATATGAGATACGTAATATAATTTGCATGACTCATTTAACAATTTTAAAACAATCGCTTATCAATTTGTAACAATTTTGAAGCCTTTTTCTTTAAAATATAAGTAAATACTCTGTTACTGATTTTTTTTTTTTTTTTTTTTTTTTTTTTTTTTTTTTTTTTTTTTTTTTTTTTTTAAAAGGACGTTTTTTTTGAGAGACGATTTTTTACGTATAGGTAAACATTAATAATTAACAAAGTGTATATTACTAGTGTAGATAAAATTGAAAATTTGCAAAATAAAAGAAACTAGAGGGAAGTTAATGCAAATCGAAAGATCCGATATGCCTCTTGGTGCATTGCATCCGGCAAAACTCGCCTTGTGCAGGTGATGCCCCCTTGTCTGTATGACGTAAAATACAAAATAAATAAATAAATAAGAGAGTAGAAAGTTCATTTGATATTACGATTTCTGACTATTAGACTATTAGAAATAGATAAGCCCATTAATGAAAGTCAATTGAAAGTACAACTTATACAGTTTATTTCGCGCAATTTTCGTTAATTAGCACTTAAGAATATAAAAATAAATTCTGACGCTTCAATATTTATCAGTGAATATATTCGCAATATAATGATTAAATATATAGCACGATTGATATAAAGGCGTTTAAACTTAAATTTATATTAATCCAACAGAAATCATTATAGAATAAATCGTTTTTATTGGTTCGATCGTACAATGTTCGTAAAGATGCATAAATTCGCGATCGGAGTCGTGGAAAATGATTTTGAATTGTTATATGCCATGCGCAAATTGGAAGCCAAATCGTAAGCAATTTAAACTTTCTGGCACCGAGAAAAGAAAGCACTATCATACTTACCGGTTAATAAGTGTCCCTTTATTTTCTCGGTGCGTCACGTAACGACAATTCAATGTATACATAAATGCGATAGAGACAAATGTCGATGTCTGTGTGAATTAAACGAAAAAATAAGTTGAAAGAAAGAAAAGAAAAGAAAAGAAAAGAAAAACCGGAATGTAAAAAAATGCAGGAGAGACGCCCTTCCGCTGCCAGTACTGTCCGAAAGCGTTTACGCGGAAGGACCACCTGGTGAACCACGTCAGGCAGCACACGGGTGAGTCACCGCACAAGTGCCAGTATTGCACGAAATCCTTCACGCGGAAGGAACATTTGACAAATCACGTGCGTCAACACACAGGCGAGTCGCCCCACCGCTGCCACTTCTGCTCCAAGTCCTTCACCAGGAAGGAACATTTGACGAACCACGTGCGCATTCACACTGGCGAGTCGCCCCATCGCTGCGAGTTCTGTCAGCGCACCTTCACGCGCAAGGAACATCTCAACAACCACCTTAGGCAGCACACCGGCGACTCGTCGCACTGCTGCAACGTCTGTTCCAAGCCCTTCACCCGCAAGGTGAGTCTGTCTCTCTTCTTCATTCCCACGCCCTGACCCACCTCCCCTACCCCCTCTCCTCAACCCATGCAAATCATATCGATATTTTATCCTTTTCTCCCTACACTCCCCTTTCCCTCTTTTTTTGTTTGTTTTTTGTTTGTTTTTGCTTCCTTTAAAGACAAATATTACTGAAGCAACTTGCACTTTATTAAGAAAAAAAAAGAAAGCCATTTTCAAAGCCGAAATATAGAAAGTAGATAAAATAAAAGGATCCAACAAAGTCCTTCGAAAAAATCGACTTATGCATTCCGTAATACAAAGAACGTTATAACCATTCTAAATCCACGCTACAATTTCATGATAAATAATTATATAAAACTTATTTTTGAATCGTTTTATCATAAAATCATAAAATCATAAAATCATAAAATCATAAAATTCGGTATTGACGAATTATCTCTCCAAAGCACAATGGCCAATATTCAGTTTCTTCACAAATATCGTACATACGCGTGTAGATACGATACCATCACCGTGTTTTAGTGATAATTTCGTTGGGAAGGGGAAGGGGAAGGGAAGGACGATATACATACACGCATGTGGATGTGTGTGGGCGTGCGTGCGTGCGTGCGTCCGTGGTGTGTGTATGCATGAACGCTTTTAAAAAGAAAAGTAGAATAAACTTTTCGTATTTCTATTTAATTATTTAATTTTTATATTTAGATTAAGATCATAATTATTTGCAATTATTTGATTATTGATTTAAAAACTTTGCAATAATTTTTTTTATCCATCGGATGGCTTTTAATCATTATAATACGTGAATTTTTAAACTGTCGGTGAGCATTAAACGTTCAAATTTTATTCGTTAATAATAAAATAATAAGAATTATGTGGCATTCCATGGGAATGTAATTCCGTTAATCGACATTTAATACCGTTGAAACTCATTATTTTACAATATAGAAGACTATCATCAATTTAATGTTAAATTTTATCATTTCTTATGTGCATCATTGTTGCAATTCTCATCCTTCGCCTCTTCCCCGACCTATTCCCCCTCCCCCGCCACGATACTTTTATTATTGACAGACATCTCAATAGTTTAATCTACGTTATGCAATTCGATCGAAGACACATAATCGTTCCATCTTTACTAAATCATCATCGGGCGATTTAAATTTTACGATATCACATCGAAACAAAAAGATCTTGACATAATAGCTTTTTAAAAATATGGAACTGTTAATTGGCTGCTATCCTTGTTGTCAAAGTGCTCCCGGCGATATCGAATATCGTCCGTTAACGCGGGCAATTGAAATATCATTGGCGTTGCGCTTGGACAACGGTGGTGGCACGGCACGGTCATGCGAGCGCGAAGCATCATCCTTTTTGAAACGACAAAGTTAACATTAAACGCTGACTAATGATAATTTGTGCGTTCCCAGGAGCATCTGATAAATCACATGCGCTGCCACACGGGCGAGCGACCATTCGTGTGCACCGAGTGCGGCAAGAGCTTCCCCTTGAAGGGCAACTTGCTCTTCCATATGCGCTCGCATAACAAGGGCAGCCAAGCCGAGCGCCCGTTCCGCTGCGACCTCTGCCCCAAGGATTTCATGTGCAAGGGCCATCTTGTCTCCCACCGGCGCTCCCACTCGGACGAGCGACCTCACAGCTGCCCGGACTGTGGCAAGACCTTCGTCGAGAAGGGCAACATGCTGCGGCACCTACGTAAACACGCGGCCGAAGGCCCACCCACGCAGGTTGGCAGCGCCGCTTCGGCCCTCGCCGGAGGGGCGGCTCAACAGCCGGGAGCCGCTGGTGCCGGTACCGGTGCCGGCGGTGCTGGTGCCGGTGGTGGTGGCGGCGGGGCCGGTGGTGCTGGGGGCCTACCCCTACCGTCGGCTGCTGCCGCTGCGGCGGCAGTCCTCGTCGGACATCCTCTAGCACCGCCCCCGGCTCCTGCCGTCGGCTTACCCCAACACACGGTCGTCGTACCTACACCTCCGGGTGTTCTCGCCTCCTACTGAGCCAACGCCAGCGATCTTGGATTGCAGCGCGCCGTCGGTCTCTTCTATTAGCGGAGACGAGACTCTTCCGTCGCCCTCCGTTGCTCTCCTTGTCGCTGACTTTACACTGATTGATAAAACTAACCGCGAGAATGCCGGGTACTTTGATACGTGTAACTATCAAGAACCATTGGATTTTGAGAATGTAAACGGAATGAGATATACTAAGGAAAGATACATAAAGTATAAGGATGCCGACGCAAAACTAGAGTGAAACCAAAAATTTCACATTTTTATTTAATTATTAAGAAACGTATTGCATTAGTTAGATAAAAGCTCTTAATCCTTTATATTAACTATAATTATCCTCCTTTTTTTTCTTTTTCTTTTTTTCTTTTTTTTATGAAATATATATTTTATTGAAGCGTGTTGATTAATTCCTATAATGATTTCATAATTTTTTTTTCATTTACGTCGGTAACTTTTACATTCATATCTTTCCTTCTTTAACCAAAAGGAATTCTGCTGAGTTTGATGATGATTTTGTGATTTCTCCATTACATATTGCAATCTGTGATTGCTTATTCAGCGTACATATTAATTTACGTATACTTGCTAAGTAACGAATGTTGAAAGCAAACTAATTTTTTCTACATTTAAAGAAATGTAACTTGAAACATAAAAATGTATAGTACATATTATACGTTTTTAGCATTGTCTTAATGAACTTTCGGACTATCCATGCCATTTGGATATTGTCATTGATTTATTATGCATAAAGAAAAGAGCATGTTAGATTTTTACACATTTTTATTGAGCTTTATAAAGTCTTACGCAGTGTTTCAAGAATAATAAGCAAATTTAAATGACGGGGGGGGGGGGAGCGAAACCGAAATTTATAAATCTTATCGAGTTACCGATTTTTCACTCACCCACTTACTCACTCACTCACTCACTCACTCACTCATTCGTACGCATGGGTACGCACGCGCTTCTGGCGTGACAAACGAATTAGCAATAAACTCAATTTATTCAATTTTATTCAACTAATATCAAAATCTATTTTCATCTTAAAATATTTCTTTAAACGAATCTACTCGTGAAAAATTTACTCAAAATAGATATAACGTAAGTGTAATACAGAGAATTTCAGAAGTTTATTTTTACAGTAAGTAACTACGATAATTTGTACATTTAAATGTTTTTTTTTCTTTTTCATTGGATTAAATAGTCACGTTTAACTATCGAGTTTATATACAGTTTTTCTCAGATCAATTATCATTGTATTTTATTATTAGTAATTTCTTGCCCATAATACAGTTTGTAGATCTTTATATATGTGTGTGTGTGTGTGTGTGTGTATATATATATATATATATACATATATATACAGACACATATATATATATATTTATATAAATCAGTTCTCGTTAAAATCTAGAGCTAACAACTTTTCAAATTTATCGTTAATAATAAAATATGTTACTAAGGTTCAGAATTATGATATTTGACTCAAAACTTATTAACCTGCTAATCCATATAATTATCTGTTCATTTATTAATCATATATTTTGTTCATTGCATCAATTACAAAATGGAACCGTACCTTGACATTATAAAGACGACTACCACGTCGCAAGCTCACACAAGCTATTTACATACTATGAAATCTAAAAAATTAAAACGTAAATTCTAATTTAACCGATGTAATGACGTGGCGCTCACATTAAAACGAGTTGTGTAAAACATTAAAAATAACGTGGGATCTCCTGAAACCAAAAGTCGTTTATTAAGTGAACCGAGACTACAAGTGAGTGAACACATTCGCAATTGCTAAAGTATTATAAGAATCAATCAGTTATCATATAATCATTATTTTAAATTAATAATTACTTTTAAAAATTACAAGATAAAATATGTAAACATTATTTAATATTGGCAAACACAGCAGTTGCGCAATGGTTCTACCACATAATTAAAAGAATTTTGTAATACAGTGAATAGTAGCTTTCTACATAATATCCAAATCAAATGTGGATATACATACAAGAAAAAAAAGAAAAAAAAATAAATAAACCAAGAAAGTGAAAGAGACAAGCACGCGAAAATCATAAGCGCAAAAAAGAGAAAATACTAAATGCAAAAGTCGCTTTTAATACATGAACTTTGTGTACGCGCATTAATAGACAAATATACGATTTAGTAGGGATCACGATCGAAATGTTCCGAAAAGAGTTAATCTTTCATTTCTCTTTCTTTTCTTCTTTTCTTCTTCTTTTATTTTTTTTTTTTTTTTTTTTTTTTTTTTTTTTTTTACATCAAATGTGAAATAAATTGCGACTGTATTTGTATTTGTTCGAACGGTATGTAATACTAACGATGAATATTTTTGTTACTCTGGAAATTACTTCAAAAGTAGTTTAATTTACTTAAAACATACAATTTTATTATGCAATTGGCCAACTATGGAATTTGATAGTAAAGGAAATGTTAGTGCAGGAAAGTCTACAGTATAGTTTAAAGTATATTCGTTTTGGTACGTCGCTTTTATATTTGATATTTGATCTAATTGTTTATGTTACACTTAATGATGTACTCGGTGGAATTATCATAATATCGAGCTACGAAAATGAAGAGGATAAAAGAAAGAGAGAGAGAGAGAGAGAGAGAGAGAGAGAGAGAGAGAAAGAAAGAAAAAGAAAATTGACCTCAAGTAAAAGAAGCTTGATTTACAGGATATTTTCAGTCGCGTTTTTCGATTGACATAGAGTTAACTATAGAGAGATCCAAAAGGGAACCGGAAACAAAACAAAAAACTAATACAACTAACACAGCGATTGATTAATTTGCGAGTCCAAGCATGAGTAATAACAGTCAACCCCCCAGGGCAAATGAACACTAAACAATGGATTCTAAAGATTTGCCGGTGGATGAAGACTATATTGACAAATTAGCTTGGCTATCAGTTATTTGTACTTTGCAAATTTCGCAACTTGGCATTTAAAGTCAGAGAGACGTGTGCTATTATAAAGAAGGTAAAAGGGTGTTAAATGAAACAGAATTAGAATAAGATAAGGGACAAATTAAATATATATTATATCGTATATGTGTAAAGATACATTAAGTAAAGATGGAAAAGGGATTCGAGAATATTTTTCGTTTACCCCAATTTTATACAAGCTCCAAGAGATATGAGATGTAATGACGAGTCGATGTGTAGATATATATAACACTTAAGTACCAAATGTTCGAAAATGTTTATTTAGTGGGACAAGTTTTACCTTTACTTTTTTTTTTTTTTTTTTCTTTTATTTTTAGTTTTTAGTTGTTTATCTTCGAGTGCAATACGAGTATAAGAAAGCTGCTTGTTTTGTTCGCTTGCAAGATTGTTCAGAATTTTCACGTGCGCAGAATAAATCCGACAAATTATACATCGTCAAACTTGTTTCCACGTATTCGCAGCTATTCGCGGGAAAAAAAGAAAGAAAAAAAAAATTTTTTTTTTTTTTATTTTATATCATAACGTTTGGAGCTGTTGAAGTCATCGTAAAATATTCCAAATCTGAAAAACTTGCAAAAAAGTGGAAGCTTGGAAAATCTTTTTTTTTTTTTTTTTTTTTTTTTTTTTGATTTTTTTTTTTTTTTTTTGTTTCTTTTATTATTAATTTTGTAGTTTAATGCGTACTGCAAACGAAAAGGAATGCACAGTAGTGTTCAAGATTTAAGTTTATGTTTATAGAAATTTTTATTTTGAAGCACGACTGTACAATGTTAAATGAAGCGCGTTAAAGCTTAGAGAAAAATACCATCGCACAGTAGTAATTTTCTAATGATTTCACTATTATAATTATAATCCGACTTTATGAATTAACTGAATAAGGCTTAAAAGTATGCGAATATTGTACCAATAAATTAAGCTCCTATGAATACTTTGCGAAATTTAAAACTTTTTAAATATGTTTAATATTTTTATAAAAAATATTTAACCTTAATTATGATAGAGCTGTTATTTTAAAGTAAAAAAAAAAAAAGGAAAAAAAAAGAAAAAGAAAAGAACTTTAAGTAATGAAGACTCGATTGGCTAATGTAATTTCACGATAAGGAACAGACAATTTCTCTTGTAAAAATCTGTTAAAGCAAATCAATTCACTTAGATGACTTCTCATCTCAGACGATATTATAAAGGAAATCGCAAGCTTTGCACTATGATTCTAGAAATCATTATAAGGCCATGTATTTCATATGTAGCTTTAAAGAATAAAGAGAAAATACGTGCGCTAAACGCCCAACACCCCGAGGTCGTATACCAATTTACCGAGCGGATGGAATAAAAAAAAAATATATATATATATATATATATATATATATATATAATTGATAAATAAATGATAAATTCGCAGCTGCCCCCACTCCCCTCGCCGCCCTCGACAGTCGAAATGTGCGAGAGAGCACGCGGAAACTACGTCTCGATGGCGAGTGCACTAACTTAGGCGTACATCTATTGTATATTATTAATTGATAAGGAGATTGATAAGCCGACGGGTTTACGACAATGTTGTTTGAGAAACACGAACCACTTGTCCTCCCTCCCCCCTCCCCCCATCCTCCCCTCAACCCCCCCACCGTCCCTATCACTCCTCACCCCTCACCCCTAGAAGTCTGTTCATATAATATAATATATATATATATATATATATATATATATATATCGATGAATATTATTATGTATATTCATAGCAAGCAGTTAGGTATCATGTACTATTGGTATAAACAAAATTTGTAAGCAAGTTGTGGCTTCGATGGGAAAGTCCATGTCAGTCGTTAATTTATGAAGTGTCGATGTTTTTTGTCGCTAACTAATGATTTGTAAAAAAAAAAATTTATACGGTAAAATTTTATTGTATTAAATAAATATGACGTATGCATATATAAATATGTATGTATGTATGTATGTATGTGTATAAATATATATATATATATATATATATATATATATATATATATGCATGCATGTATGTATG